TTTCTTCTTCTTCTCTCTCTCTTTTCTCCACTGGCTGACTGTTGTTCGGCAAACGCGCAAAATCAGGACACGGACATTCATGCAAGTAAGATTAATATTTTTCGTTTTAAATCAAACAAAAAATTAATTGATCCGAAATCACCTGAAAGAAAATATTAAACTTAAAATTATTCCTGAGCCTCCCATTCCACTTCCTTCTTGCCACATGACATCTCTCCACAGCTTTCTATTCTTTTAATATCTGCAAAATACGTATTATCATGGCTGCATTGAAAGCTTGTGGAGTGGTTTCCCATTGTTTCTTTCACTGTTCTGAATCCAACGTTGTTCTTCTCCTAAACTGATTATGCTACTATTTATCTTATTATTTAACCCATAGCTGGGTGGGAGGAAAATAGATCGATTCATGTCTTTCCACATGGCATAATTCCAAATGGACGCAACAATGCGTCGATGACTGTTACGCCACCCGTAAACTTTTACCGGTAATTAGCTGAACTTTGCTCAATTCCTCATGTGTGGGTATCTCGTGGGGTTCGAAGTCACTAGACCACCATCCTCAGTGGACTAATCTTTTTGGAACCTGAAATTGGTAGCATAAATGTCGGCGTTTCAAATAGTTTATATCATATATATATATATATATATATATATATATATATAATCTGTAAAAAAAGATAATATGTATAAAGGAAAAAAGACAGACAATAGGAAAACTGTGTGTAATTTTAGACGATACATTTCGTTCAATGTGAACTTTTTCAAGGCAAAAAAACGAGATGAATTTATTAAAACTAAATATCTATAAACAAAAAACAAAATGTCGTTAGTAATTAGAAGAATTTGGAAACGCTATTATTCATTAGGTGGACTGAAAAATGACGTCACTTACTTTTCATGTTAGAAGAGAATTTTTTCACATGTCGAAATATTGTTTGTATTATTGTGTCGACGGATTCAACCGTTTTCTTTTGAATTCTTATTATATTTGTTGTGTAGGTTTGTTTGGGAGATTAGTGATTATGTTAGGAAAGGTGATATTGAGAAAAAACCTGGGCGTAGATTAATATTTGGATAGTGTTCAATGGCGGCACTCTCGAGGATTTTTCCTTTAGAGTGAATTATTTTCTTTTTTATGAGTTTATATATATAAAATCAAAATTGTGATTGAATTTATTTCTATCTATGACTAGTGCATTTGTTAAATTGTTATTTATGAGGTCTGTTTTCTGCTCATAGATGCGTTTTTTTAATTTCTGAATGTTTCTCCAATGTATTATTTTATATATGCCTACTTTAGAAATATTATTGTTATGGGCGCTTGTAGATCCGGTTATGTCCATAATGATTTGGGAAGATTTTGTGATTATTTGGATGCTGTTTAGATGGGATAGAGAGTTCTGGATGGTTGGCGTTACAAAGTTAGTCGGTAGTATGATGTATCTGTTCTTATATAATTTATTATTATGGATAATGTTTTTTGGGGGGGTTGCGGTTGTATATTTTGTATGCCTTTCTTCTTGCGTTTTGGATGAAGTGGTATGGATATTGTTGGTTTTTGAATGTGTTTCCTATGTATGTTTCTTCTTTAGGCAAATATTGGGGGCTGCAAATTTTTAATGCTCTTAAATAGAAACCTGTAATTATTCCAGATTTAATTTCAGAGGAGTGGTTTGAGTAGAAACTGACCAGGTCGGTTTTTTGGGGGAGGGGGTTGTAGCTTTTCTATAAAAGTCAAAATTAAGTTCGTTATTATTTTTGTGTAACATTATACCAAAGAAGGGAAAAGTAGTTGGTTCCAGTTTCAAAGGTCAAGTTTATTGTAGGTTCAACGTTGTTAAGTTGGTTGAAATGATCTGTTAAATTAGTACTTTGTGAATGTATTAGTAGGGAATCGTCTATGCATCTGAAATAAGAAGATTTTGGAAGTAGAATGAGTCACTTTCTAGAAACTCTAAAAATAGACAAGCAAGAATATCGCTGAGAGGTGATCCCATAAGTAAACCAAATTTTTGTCTGTAGAGTTGGTTATCAAAAGTAAAGAAATATTGCTTGGTGATTGGCTGGCATATTTTTATGAGTTTATGTGTAGGAAGAGGTAATTTTATTTCTGTTTTTGTTAGGTGTGTTTTTAGTAGATTTAGGTATTTCTCTATAGAGACGTTTGTATATAGATATTTGTTTTTGATGTCTATATTTTTTAATTTGTTTAGGAGGTCACCTGATTTTTTTATGTGTGATGGACTAATGGGGCCAAGGAGTGGGGTTAAGATTTTGCTTACTGTGCCGGCTAGTTTGGGGCGCTGCCTATCCCAGATATGATAGGTTTCATTAGTACGTTCTGTTTATGTGTTTTCCGTAGACCGTATAATGTGGGTGGTTTTAGATGGTATTCAATAAGTTTTATCCAGGAGGTGTCTTCATATTTTAGTAGATTTTTGATGTTGCTTGGGAATTTTTGTGTTTCTTTTGTAGCTTTGTTTTCGATACGACGAGGCACATGTTTTTAGGTTGCCATTTCTTTATGCGGTAGACGAGTTGCCATCCAAGGCTATAGAACCCGGTGTGTCCTTGTATTTACCCACAGCTGGGGAGAGAAGAAGATTCGTACTTTCCCAAGAGTGATATTTAGCTAAACCCCACCCCCACCGAGTGTTACATGTGGCATAAGGCAGAGTTTAACGTGTGATCTCCGAGCCCGTAGGCTCGACCAAAATATTCCCTCTTTGAACCCGCATAAAGGGGTTCAGGGTCAGTCAACTAGACTCTGCCCTTCGTCCGGGTTCCTCTCCGCCCGAAGGCAGAGAGTTAGACTGTTAGCCAAGTTAACCAAATTTCCGTACTTTCCCAAGAGTATTAACACGTAAGTGAATGTAATGGATTCGACTAGAATTCGAACTCGGCTCTCCGATTCCTCAATACAAGCCGCTATTCATACTTTTTTAATTAGGCTTTTTCTGTCGACCATGGACCATTTGCTATGGTTAATCAGTATATTGACTTTATTTTGCAAAACCCAGATATGCTTCTTATCATAGTTAATTAAGATTCTTTTTTCATTCAGTTCGTGTTTATGTAGGTAACTTCCTGTCATATATGCCATGTGGCTTCTTTTTCTTCTAATTCCTGTATCGAACATTTCAAAAATTCATCGGTGTAAAGAGAGGAAATATGGTGTGACGAGTTTGGGTGAGCACTGAGGAATAACTTTTCATTATCGCAGTTTCTAAGAAAGTTTTTCTTGTTTTAAGAGAATGGGCGGTTTTTTTTTCAGATTAGGTGTGTCTCTGTGTCTGTGTCTCTGTTGTTTTTTTTCCATGTCAACACATATGTAAAAAGTTCTCAGAATTAATCTGTAGAAAAAGACCATATGTATAAAAGAAAAAAGACAATAAGAAAACTGTGTGTAGTTTAACCTGTGCGTTTTGTCCAATGTGGAATTTTTCACGGCAATATATATATATATATATATATATATATATATATATATATATATACTTGACTCTCACGTCGATTCTACGTATGAGGGTCAAGCAGCTCAGTTCCTAGGAACCAACAGTCCAACACCAGCAAATATGATTTGATTATACAGGTGAAGGCTTTGTGCAGAAGCAAGCACCCCTTTTGAAGAGCCGAATACAGAAACCTGGTGCACTACGTGCCACAAAATCCGCAGACGACCCTCCGAAGGTATTGAATTCAGAGTTGTCCTTCTCCTGCCCTCCAAGGCTATAGAACCCAGTCTCTCCTGCTATTTACCCATAACCGGACGGAGAAGAAGAAGATTTATACCTTTCCCAAGGGTATTAGCACGTAAGTAAATGTAATGTATTCGACTGGCTCTCCGATTCCTCAATCCAAGCCGCTAACCATTACTCCACGGTGACTGATATATATATATATATATATATATATATATATATATATATATATATATATATATATAGGTTTGGAATGCGACTTAAGATTCGTTCTTCTACCAACTCATCAAGCACAAATTATTACTTATATATATATATATATATATATATATATATATATATATATATGGTAGGTTTCATGCTCGTAACAATCTTCAGTAAAGAAAACCATGAAAAGAAGATGCCCAAAACTGCATAAAAATAAAGTTTTATCGTCTAAATATTGGATACAGGGCACAGCGGATAAAGGCATTGGTTAGATCCAGTGACAGACCCAAAGAAGGTGAGTTCAATTCCTGGTTAAGGCAGTGGAGAACTTTCAGAGGGAAAATTAGCAGGAGATAACTGATAACTGACATCCATTAAAACATGGCACGTGGAACTAGAACAGTCTACCCCAGTGAGCGAAATAAAGGGTTCAGTTCGACATTCCAACCACCTGAAAAAGGCCGGAGCATACAACGGTTGAAACGTTGTAATAAATATGGCGACAAAGATGTGGACAATAGTCCGAATAATGTAAATAATGTACATAATACCTCATCTCAGAAATATAGACAGATACTTTTTAAATGTTTCATTTTGAGGAAATCAAAAGTATGTTTACATCTATTAACCTCTAATTATTTAATTTTATGAAATTTGAAGAATTTCTTTTTTGTAACGCTTAATATTTATATTAGTTATAAGAACAAGCCCACAGAGAATTTAAATCATTATTTTGGGGGTCAAACAGTACCACCAATTGGAGAAGATCTGCTCGGAATTTTAAAATAAAAAGAAATATGCAATAAAAGTAAGACGTAATTTAGTTAAAAAATATTTTAAATGCTTGTATGAATAAAATATATTATGAAAAAAATAATTTTAATTTGAATAATTTAGAGGATTTTAAAATTTTGTATTCATTTGTAGTGACATTAAATAAAAAAGGGCATTTACTAATAATAAATGGAAAAACTTGCTACAATTCATCCACCCGAGTATTTGGAAAAGAATCGTGTGTGTGTGTAAACGTGCCGATTATTGCAAATTGTCCATAAACGATATTCTCAGAAAATAAGTAATAAGTGCTGTAACGATAGATAGATAGATAGATATGAATAGACTGAGATAGATAGATAGATAGATAGATAGATAGATAGATAGATAGATAGATAGATAGATATGACAAGACTACGATAGATAGATAGATAGATAGATAGTATGAGTATTAAATTTATGCGTCCGTACAGAATTGCACATCCAAAAAGGTGAGCCTTAAGGCCTTATCTGCGGAAGATCAATGTACAAACAATACGGTGGTGGTGGTGGTAGTGGGGTGGGGGAGAGATTTCATTTTGGTCAGCTGACTGCTCACGCCGGGCATGTTAGCAGATGAACAAGTGAATAGCTTGCTGGCTATCGACCGAGTATCTGACAACTGGAAATAAAAAGGCGAAAAATAGGAAGATTGAAATTTAAAAGAATAAACTCCCAAAAAGTCAGACAATTTTGATGTACAAAAATAAGAAATAACGCCAAGAAAAGTTACGCAAAAATACAAAACATGGAATGAAGAAAGAAAGAAAAAAGAAAGTAAAAGAAAAAATGTGATGTGCTCTCAACTGTGATAGGCCAGATAAGGTCGTTCATTTGGTAAGTAATTATATTATTATACTTGTATTTTGCATAAAAATACACACACACACACACACACACACATATATATATATAGTAAGGTAATGAAGGCTTTCGTAACCCGTATGGATAATTCCAAAGAAGATGTAATTCAGAGAGCTCATTGTAACAACAGAGCGAATATATATATATATATATATATATATATATATATATATATATATATATATACCATCCTGAAGATAAACTACATCCGCGTCCTGGGTAAGACAATAAACTACGTCCAACAATATTAAGGTCCCAGCTGTTAAGGTCCTAACTATGGGTAAATAGTTATCCCCCAAAATGGGGTTAAAACACAATGTAAGTGTAAAAATAGGCCTCTGATCAGGGGGTTTTAAAGAGCGGGGAACCACCTTTTAATTGCTGGCGTTCCCAGGTCCACCCTGACCCGGGGTGGTAGCACCTGTTAGGGTCTCAACTATGGGTAAATAGTCATCCCACCAAATGGGGTTAAAACACAATGTAAGTGTAAAAATAGGTTTTAGTACCAGAAATAATTTGTAAAAAAGAAATAATTATTACCAGCAATACATTTTTGAAGAAAAATATTACCAGAAATAATCATTTCGTCGGCATTAATAACCCATTGAGGTTGATATGCCGTAAAACAAACCAAAAGTATATATATATACGTATATATATAAATGTGTGTGTATGTGTGTGCATACATCAATAAGTTTGCAAAATAATGATGAAAAATTCATTTACTTAACAATTATTTATTTTTCGATATAACACACTCTGTTGTCAATGCCCTTATTTCAGTATTGAATATTTAATGTCATTTTTCGAATGTTGCCATGCAGCAAAAATTTTAAAACAAAATTCAAATAGTAATTACGTAACAGAATTCATTTTTACTGAGCATATATCAAACACACACGCACGCAGACATATATATAAATTCATCCATATGTATATGCATTCTGTGATACATATATATATATATATATATATATATATATATATATATATATATATATATAGTCTTCAGTTGTTTCCTTAATGTTGTATTACTTTGCTTTTTATAGATACGATTGTCAATATCGCGTTTTGACTTGACTTGCATTTCAATGGATATTAACAAATCTTAGATAGATTGGGATTTAAAGAGCAATTCATTTTTTTCATGTGAATATTGCTTTAGCATTTTTTAGAATAAAAACAGAATGCGATAGATAGATAGATAGATAGATAGATAGATAGATAGATAGATAGATAGATAGATAATGAACAGACTCCAGTAAATAGATTGAGAAAAATAGATAGATTATGAACAAACTTAGATAGATAGATAGATAGATGGATTGATAGATAGATAGATAGATAGATAGATAGATAATGAACACACTGCAGTAAATAGATTGAGAAAGATAGATTCACACTCCAATAGATAGATAGATAGATAGATAGATAGATAGATAGATAGATAGATAGATAGATTATGAACACACCCCAGTAAATAGATTGAGAAAAATAGATAGATTATGAACAAACTTAGATAGATAGATAGATAGATAGATAGATAGATAGATAGATAGATAGATAGATAGATAGATAGATAAATTTTTGTATCTATAGCTAAACATCTTGTACCTATACAAAACAGTCGGATATTAAGTATTAAGACAGTTTCAAGAAGGAATTATTATTCACAGCTTTCAATCTAGCGTGTTTATAGTTGAATATTTTGTCTCATGTTGGTATCTATCACGCTGAACTTTATCTGGCATAAGTTGATGTTAGTTGTATAACCAGTATGGTTCAAATTTTAGATATTAGTTTGCCAGCATGAATCTGTTAATTACTGCATTAAACTATTTATCTATTTTCTTTCTTTCTTTCTTTCTTTCTTTCTTTCTTTCTATCTATCTATCTATCTGTCTATCTCAGTCCTTTCAATTACCTATCAATTTATCTCTGTCCTTTCAGTTATCGATCTATATATCTCTTTCAGTCCTTTCAATTATCTACCTATCTCTCTCAGACCTTTCAATTATCTATCTATCTATCTATCTATCTATCTATCTATCTATCTATCTATCTATCTATCTCAGCCATTCAATTATCGATCTATCTATCTCCCTCAGTCCTTTATCAAATGCATATATCATTCCAAAATAAAATTTGTACAGTTTAAATATTTTCCTTATAGATAACAAGCCAAAGTAGTACCCTGTTGTCTTATGAAAAAAATAATTTTAATTAGAATAATTTATAAACTTTTATATCTTTTAAAATTCTGTATTCACTCGTAGCGGAATTAAATAAAAAGTATATAAATCGAAAAGTTTATTCATCGAACTTCAGTATTTTAAAAACAATTTTGAATTTGCGCGCGCGCGTGTGAGTGTGTGTGTGTGTGTGTGTTAAATATATAAATAAGTTTTACTATGTCTTTTACTTTTATTGATCAATTTTTCTTTTCGGGTCCATTATTGCCCTTCGTCTTCTATGTGGTGTGTCTCTACAGAACAATGGCGCTCATAGCAATCCACAATAAGAAGGGAATTGAAGCAACAGAAAAGGTGGTTCTACAGGCGAATGCTGGGTGTACCATGGACCAAACATGGGAGCAACGATGAATTTCAAGATGGAAACGAAAAGGACACTTATACATTACATCAGAAAGGGACAGTTGAAATTTCTAGGACGCATAATGAGGAAAGGGGACTTAGAAAATGTGATACTCACAGGACAGATTGAAAGCAAGAGAGACAGAGGAAAACAACGCATAACCTACCTGGCGACTCCGGGTGAATGGATGACGATGCAGGGTATGGAAAAGTTGTTTTTTTTTAAGTTATTATGAGCTACAAGGGACAAGAAACTGTGGAGAGCCATGATCGCCAACGTTCTGAAGGGACACGGCATATAGAAGAGGAAGACAATGCATAATCTACCTAGAGACTTTGGGTGAATGGATGGAGGAGCAGGATATGGGAGAGATGGCAAAAAGACAAAAGTTATTAAGAGTTACAAAAGACAGGAAATTGTGGAGAGCCATGATCGCCAACGTCCTGAAGGGATACGGTATATAAAAGTGAAAAACAGCGCATAACCTACCTAGAGACTTTGGGTGAATGGATGGCGGAGCAGGATATGGGGGAGATGGCAAAAAGACAAAAGTTATTAAGAGTTACAAGAGACAGGAAATTGTGGAGAGCCATGATCGCCAATGTCCTGAAGGGATACTGCATATAAAAGAGGAAAACAACGCATAACCTACCTTGTGATTTTGGGTGAACGAATGGTGAAGCAGGACATTGGTGAGATGACAAAACGTCTAAAGTTTTTAAAAGTTACAAGGTACAGGAAATTGTTACACTAGTGAAACCTTGTAAAGCACTCTTTTATACCAAACAAGCATTAATTTTGATTATTTTATCGCTAATATATACGGAATAGACATTTTTTTCTATGACATTTATCATGCTTTGAAAGTAATCTCTAAGTGGTCTCAACATCGAAATATGGTTACAAACTAACACCCACAATGTCTGGACACTAAAAGGTTCATTTCCGTATCCTGGTGTGAAAGGTGCAGAGGAATTGTCTACAGATCTTATTGGTTCTTGTTAATGTTTCGTGTCTTCTGTCATTTACTCCTGCCATTTGCCCAGCTATTGGGTAAATAGCAGGACAGACCGGGTTCTGTAGCCTTGCGTGGCAACTGAAAGAAATGGCAACCTACTTGCGGGAAAAATCTGCCTCGTCATTCATGTATCGTTATATACACGATCACCTAAGCGTTTATCACGCATGGCACATAATTGACTGTCTTCTGTCATTATAAAAAAATAAAATAAAAGAATTGAAATGATATTCTGCTTTCGGATTGTTTTGCAATTTAAATCCTTTTATAGTCCATGTCCTTTCAAGACGTGGACAATAATGGCTCCCCACAACGTTCGTCCTCTTTTGTTTCAGATAATATTACGAACGTTTAGATTTATCATCTTAATTCAAAATTATTACTAGTGACTAGATTGTGACAGATGTCATATCAATATGTATATTTTTTAATTGTCAAAATGGGGATATTTCTCTTTATTGGTGTTAATATTGAGGATATAAGAAAATACACTATTTACATTATTCGGACTATTGTCCTCATCCTTGTCACCATATTTATTACAACGTTTCGGCCGTAGTACGCTCCGGCCTTCTTCAGGTGGTTAGACATAAATAGTGTACATAATACCTCATCTCAGAAATATAGATAGATACTGATATGAGAAAATAAGTAAGATTTTTTACATATGCGTTTGATTTTGATTAAGAAAGGTAAAAATTCGACTCAAATGCATAAAAAAAGACAGCAGACTAATATTTTTGCAGTTTATGGAGAAAAGCGATGAAGTATTAAACGTGTCAGCAAGAATGCACTTTGGTTGGGTAACATCAGTTAAAATCGATAATGATCGATCTGGGATTAGGATATTCTAAAATGAACATAAATTCTCAGAATTCACACGATGTCCCGTTCAGGCAACACCTCCTTATGTCAATATCCCCAAAATGCTCAAAACTGTCGAGAAAATCTCAACCCACCAAAAAAAAAAAAAGGTGCAGGCCGAGGAAAAGAACAAAGGTATTTATCTTAAGTTGCGAAAAAATATTTTCTTCCGCAACGTAGCTTTATCGTCTGATAACTTGCATTGAGTTACAAGAAGAGCGAAAAAAAGGAGGAAGAAACATTTCCTTTATAACCACTTCAGGGATCACGTGGTAACAAGCCACGTGACCCTGTAACTATAAAAAAGAAATAAGTAAAAAGGTAACAGGTTTTAGTCAGCAAGAACCAACAACCCAGGTAAGTACATTACTCCTTGTACCCGCATGGACCGTCAAATTCTACACAAAACTTAAACTACTAAACCATCCCAAATATACAACTATCAATAAACAGACTTTGAATTTAACTTTTTTCTTTACTGAACCGAGTCAGTCGAAAGTTCCGGAAACGTGGCAAGAAACAACACGAACTTTGAACAGTTTTTTTTTTGTTTGTTTGTTTTTTTTTTTTGTTTTTTTTGTTTTGTTTTTCTCAGCTTTTAACATCAAGATACAAAATTTAATCCGTCAAAAAAAAAAAAATAGATAAAAAAATGTAACCTTTTTAATAATTTCACCCAAAAGCAAAGAAATAAAGACACTAAGTCGCAAGGTGTTACTGAACGTAAGAGAAAAAAGAAAAGAAAATATTATTAAGGTTGATTGATTTATTCATTTGTTTGTCAATTTTTGTCAACCTTTGTCACTCGTGTGGAATCAGGGGCAAAATTAATTGCAGGGATCTTAGCTTTAGAAAAAATAACTTCAGTGCCATTAATAATAGCAGACTAAGATAATTGGCCTTTTTAAGAATCTTGTAAGGGAGTTTCAAGAATTTACAGCAACCAAGACTTGAAGTGGTTATTCCAATAAATACTGAGAATAGCATGGATGGAGCATGTGGGAAAAGAGGAAGTTTTAAAAAAAGAAACAAGGAAACTTACGACCGAAAGGGGACAGATTTCTATTGATTGATTGATTCGTTTTCTACGGCTTATCAACCCTTTGCAGGTTATTTAAAGCCAGAAAATATTTTTAGATTGTAAATTTTTTTTTTTTGATAATAATGGTTTAGTGATACAAGTCTCGCTAATTAACTCATAGCTGGGGGTGTAGAGGTGGATCCATACTTTTCCCAAGTGCATTTGCGCGTAAGTGAATATAACAAGCCCAACGGGAAATAGAACTCGACTCTTCAATTAACAATTCCGAGCAATTATCCATTACACCACCCGCACATCCAAGCTTACAGTAACTGGTATTCCAAAGTGTCATTATTAAGGAGAGAAAACAATAAAAGATCAGGAATTATGAAGACAGAAGACAAGATGTATTTAAATTTTTGAAGATCAAAGTTGACTGACAAATAAGAATCCGGGAGCGAGAGAAGTGCAAGTGAAGAAAGATTACAACTAGCCATCTCAACTGCAAAATGATGAGACCTTACCGCCAATCCAGTACGGCGCTTAAATTCGTAAAGTCTAGGTACCAAAAAGTAAATCTCATCAAAACACTTAGCCTGAAAATATTTATAGAAAAGACACAAGGAAGCTACGCTACAGCTGTGGGAAAATGATTGAAACTGAGATGACAGTACAGGACTGATAATATGGCAGATTCACCGATGTATTTTAATAAGAATCTCTAAATACACTGTAGAAACCCCAGACCAAATATGCAATGCCTGGTCGAATGGTAGACTTATATACTTATGATAAGCAAAATTGTTCAGTACGACTCAGTGAACCGATTTCCCTAATATCAAACCCAGCAATTGGTTCAGTATAATCTTTCCACTTTATGTCAGCTGACAAAAAAAACGCAAGGAGTCACTGTCCTGGGGCTTAGCAAAAAATGGTTATGTCTGATGATATATATATATATATATATATATATATATAGTTTTAAGCTTCGGTTTTCGAAACATAGTAATTCCTGTGTAGCGAAGAAACCATATTTTAAATCAGTTAATTTATAATATTTATGCTCTGTAAATTCACATTGAGCACGGTTTTCTAAAAATAAAAATATCAATAATAACACCGATTTAATATATGTTACTGTTCATTCCTTTTTATTATATATATATATATATATATATATATATATATATATATATATATATATATATATATTCTGCTTATACGTTATTTTTATAGATACAAATATTTAAGTA